CACTGTCCTCATCATCATCACTGTTCTCATCATCATCATCACTGTCATCATCAGCATCACTGTCCTCTTCATCAGCATCACTGTCCTCTTCATCAGCATCACTGTCCTCTTCCTCCTCCCCCTCCTCATCAAAATCACCATTATCATATCATCATCATCACCATCATTACTGTCCTCATCATCACCATCATCATCACTGTCCGCGTCGTCCTCCTCCTCCTCCTCCTCCTCCTCCTCATCATCATCATCACTGTCCTCCTCCTCATCATCAAAATCGCCATTATCATATCAGACCCGTGAAGATTCCGGGGTAGAATAGGTCTTCAGCAACCCATACTTGCCGTAAAAGGCGACTATGCTTGTCGTAAAAGGCGACTAACGGGATCGGGTGGTCAGGCTCGCTGACTTGGTTGATACATGCAATCGATCCCAATTGCGTGGATCGATGCTCATGATGTCAATCACTGGATTGTCTGGTCCAGACTCGATTATTTTACAGACCGCCGTCATATAGCTGGAATATTGCTGAGTGCGGCGTAAAACAACAAACAAACAAACAAACAGTTTCATATCATTATCATCACATCATTACTGTCCTCATCATCACCATCATCATCACTGTCCGCGTCCTCCTCCTCATCATCATCACCATCACTGTCAGTATCATCGTGATCAAAAGTGTTGTTATTAGCCTCCCAAGTATGCATTTAATGACCCTCCTTTGCACAAGTGAATGACAAAAAATATGCCACCTCAAATGGGTTCGTCGAGCGGATTCTCTTAATCAAGTCATCAATAACAGCAACACTAAACCACAAGATCGCATATTGCACAAGACTGAACATGAGTGATAGTTCAAATACAGCAATGTAGGAACAATGTTCTTAACGGCACATCTGGAGTCCCTTTAATAGATCAAAGGGGCGGTCGGGTAGCCTAGTGGTTAAAGCGTTCGCTCGTCACGCCGAACACCCGGGTTCGATTTCCGACATGATACAATGTGTGAAGCCCATCTCTGGTGTCCCCCGCCGTGATATTGCTGGAATATTGCTAAAAGCGGCGTAAAACCATACTCACTCACTCACTCACTCACTCAAAGCCTTGTTAAACCCAAATCAACAACACTTTAATCAACTCCCTTACATAAGTCAGCCACCCTTTAATAGTTGTTGACGGAACTGCAAACAGAGCGTACGCTGGAAGTTTCATTTTTGTTTTTCGTGATGTCCGTTATCTCCCATGAATGCAACATCAACCATATCGCTCACACTAATGAGCAACTATAGAATGCTTTATCGTATGATGCGACAGAATATCTATTGCAGCCTATGCATGTGCATCGAAGGTCAGTTAGATAGAGAGATGCATACCTTTAACTACTGCCTCAATCGTTAAATTCCAGCAATATGAAAAATAATATTTACAGCATACAGATGTATTCCGCCCTGTACATTTCAGTCAAGGTGTACGCCAAGGGTGATCTCCTTTGCCTATATTGTTAATTAAACTTGCATATCAATTACATACTTGTTTACAAATGTGACAAAATTGAATTCGCAGCATATAAATTCTTTACAACATTACAATAAATTAGATTTTTGTGGAAAAGGTAGATAATATAAACGCAGACACGTGCAGACTGGAGCGATATCAGTAAACGCGGTATTACTTTCGTTTCCTTTGAGATCAAAAGCCTGATAATACCCTGACACATAAAGCATGCACATGAGAAGGGAAGTTGTTATGCTTTGGTTCACACTCATGTCATATGTATAGAAAGCCAGGGTGATAAGGACGAGGTATTACAAGCACAACATCCACGATGTTGATTTAAGGGGACTCTCCGGCCTACCACCTATCGTCATGTTCACGGTTTATAAAATGTAGTTTTTGTTCGATATCAAATAGTCTGTGTTTCCTTACAGTTTCGCGACAGAAGTAAACAGTGAAAGACATCTTATCCGGTTGATCTTATAATCTTTTTTAATAAAATGTTCATTCTCTGAGAATGAGATTACAATGACGCCATACATTGATACTGTATACACTGGTATGCAAAAGCTATACGAATATATGTACATTGAGCCATGAATCCACATGGGTGTTCTGGAGCCAGGTAGCTAGTGCGTTCGCTCTTATCAAATTCTGGGTTCGATTCCAATGGTATGTCTGGTCCAGACTCGATTAATTACAAGACGAGCAGTGCTCTCCATGTCAATCATTCGTTGTCTGGTCCAGACTCAATTAATTACAAGGCGATCAATGCCCATGATATCAATCATTTGATTGTCTGGTCCAGACTCGATTTTTTATATACATACCGCCGTCATATAGTTGTACCATTGCTAAGAGATGCGTTAAACAACAAACAAACAATTTACAAGTCGCCGTCATCTGGCTAGAATATTTCTGAGTGATGCGTTAAACAAAAACAAAATATGAATGTCACTCATATAATTTTCACCGCTATTTTGCCTTTTACGCCCATTTGAATCCGTTT